CTATTGGGCTTCTGCCATTTTTGTACACAAGATATGGACCACTATTGGGCTCCTGCCATTCTTGTACACAAGATATGGACCACTATTGGGATCCTGCCATTCTTGTAAAAAAAGATGCGGACCGCTACTGGATTCCTGCCATTCGTGTAGACAAAATAAGGATCATTACTGGCTCCCTGACATTCTTGTAGACAAGATATGGGCCACTACTGGTCTCTTGACATTCTTTTAGACAAGATATCGACCAGTGTTGGCCTCCTGCCATTCTTGTAGAGAAGATATCGACCACTAATGGCCTCCTGCCATTCTTGTAGAGAAGATATCGACCACTAATGGCCTCCTGCCATTCTTGTAGAGAAGATATTGACCACTGCTGGCCTCCTACCATTCTTGTAGAGAAGATATCGACCACTAATGGCCTCCTGCCATTCTTGTAGAGAAGATATCGACCACTATCGGCCTCCTGCCATTTCTTGTAGATAAGATATTGACCACTGCTGGCCTCCTGCCATTCTTGAAGACAAGATATCGACCACTACTGGCCTCCTACCATTCTTGTAGACAAGATATGGACTACTACTGGCCTCCTGCTATTCTTATAGAAAAGATATGGACTACTACTGGCCTCCTGCTATTCTTGTAGACAAGATATCGGTCACGAATGGCTTTTTGTAGTTCCTGTCTATTATATCAGAAGCTACATCTGTATCAAGGACCAACGGTTATTTGAAGTCTACTCTCAGCCACAACCAACACAACAGGACGAAATACCTGATTAGGACAACAACAACAAGCACCTTGAGGGTAAATCAAACAGTATGTCGTCACAACAGATAACCGAGCCTATCTGGCTAGCATCTTCAAATCATTTGGCTTATGAAATAGAAATAGTGAACAAGTCTGATATCCTGCTGATTCAAGGAAAACATCCCTAAATTATAAAGGAGATCTCTGTTCTTTCTCCTTCTCATTTTCATCCTCAGTAGAATGGACATTATCTTCAGGTTTCGGGAGTATTGCGTCTCTTGAAATTGAAGGCCTTTTTTCACATGGTGTTACAATATCCAGAAAGTCATCGTAATTATTTATCTGTTGTTGTTTTTATCCAGAAAACTTACCATCCATAGTAATACGTACTTTTAATCTAGGGTAGCTGCTTGTATCAAGCTGTTTATTGTAGGTTGAGACAAGTTATTTTAAACGAGACATCTTGAGAGAACTCTGAGAGACTTCAGTAATCTGTGCATTGTTGTTTACTTTACAAGCTAGTTCTGTACATTGTTGAATATTTTACAAGCTGGTTCTGTACATTGTTGTATACTTTACAAGTTGGTTCTGTACATTGTTGTATACTTTACAGTCTGGTTCTATACATTGTTGTTTACTTTACAAGCTAGTTCTGTACATTGTTGAATATTTTACAAGCTGGTTCTGTACAATGTTTTATACTTTACAATCTGGTTCTATACATTGTTGTTTACTTTACAAGCTAGTTCTGTACATTGTTGATTATTTTACAAGCTGGTTCTGTACATTGTTTTATACTTTACAATCTGGTTCTATACATTGTTGTTTACTTTACAAGCTAGTTCTGTACATTGTTGATTATTTTACAAGCTGGTTCTGTACATTGTTGTATACTTTACAATCTGGTTCTATACATTGTTGTTTACTTTACAAGCTAGTTCTGTACATTGTTGAATATTTTACAAGCTGGTTCTGTACATTGTTTTATACTTTACAATGGTTCTATACATTGTTGTTTACTTTACAAGCTAGTTCTGTACATTGTTGTATACTTAAGGAGTAGGTTCAGCACCTGTAGACCGTGTAGAATCTCGTGGCCAGCAAGTGTATTGTATCATATTATGTGTTCTTAAGCTATATTTAGTCTGTTAGTTGCTTCTTGGATAAAGTCCAAAATTCTCTGGACATATCTTAATTTTTAAAACTGAATTTGTTTGTAAAAGGTCAGAGTAGCAGGAAAGCCTACATCTGCAGTTAGTATTCCTAATACTGCTATTTGGCTCGAGAAATAATACGTGTTTCAGTAGATGTTGAATATATATATATTGGCGTTTACAATTAATACTTAACTTTTAGTCAGTGCAAGCAACCTAGTTAGAGCGAAACTAAAAATCAACCTGGTAATGAGCGTAGCTAATTATATACAATTTTCTTACGTTCTTGCTTATAAATGTCAGAATACATTGTTTGATCTTTTGGGTACCTATGCTATTAACTATGTTCTCGCCCATAATCCCAATAATAATGTCACGAGATTCAGCCAGCTTAAGAGATTTAAGTTAGTTCTATATGCACATATTTAGCTAACAATTCAAAACAACGCCTATAATAGAAATATTATAAGAAAAAAAATAGAATTAAAAAAATAATAAAATTGTGTATATTAAACATTACAACCAATACCGTTAATGAAAATAACGTTAAATAAATTTTAGTGTATATCATACAGAACACAGAGACGCTAGACGTTGGCTTCAAGTACTATCGTAGATTTTTGTTCCTCGAGCACGGTAACATCAATGCAACCGCATATAAGTACAAAAAAAAAAACTTTGTACAACCCACCTTAAAAACCTTTGTGACAAATTAAAACCCATCAAACAGCTCCGACAGTGTAACTTTATACAAACCTAACAACTGAAATAAAATACTTCAATAAATGTTACTGTTTAGGTATAGAATCAAGTATCAATAATACAGCGAAAAACCGACGTTTATGAAGATACAAAAGAATAAATAAGAAATTAAATGAACACCTGAATCGTACAATGTAATTAAAATATAACAGTGTTAGATGTAATACAAAGAACACAAGACGTGAAACATACTATAAGGTGTGCCAAACACAACACAACTCTGTCACTTAACAAAACACACGGAGCAGGCAACAGGAAGCGATAGACAAAGTTACATTTTCTGTAAAAACCAAAGTATAAACGTAATGTCATACTATACATGGAACTGTTATTTAATTAATGTTAACTATAATAAGAGCTTAAACTATAAAACTTCTAAACCCATAATAGTAACAAGAAGTGTGTTTCTTCAATAATAACGTGATGTTTTGAGGATTCGTTAAAGAAACGTCCATGATAATTAAGGATATGGATTTATGGTTGCATTTCTACAAATACATATAAAATAAATAAAGCTACACATTGATAGCGAAAGATACGCGTACTCACGTGCAAACAAAACAAAATGCCGACATGAAAGTAATAGAGTTTTATTTAAGCGACATTCCAGGTAACAGAAGAAGCAGTTATCAGACAAGACCGATTCCGCGAAACGCTGAATTGAAGAAATAAACAAGAGTAATATTATCAATTCCATTCATTTTTTATCATTAAACTGAAATGCTAGAAAGGTTGACTGCCTATCAGTTGTGTAATGCAGGGAAGAAGGTTCTACAGTTTGTTGGATCATAAAACCTGTGTAAATTTCGGGTTTATTCAGCATTTTTTCACGGAGTTTGAAAGTGAAAGAAACTGAATCAAAGGCAGTTTTACTACAATCTGATGGATATCTAGGATGTGAGTGAAAGGACTCTGTTCCTGACCTTCTAAAGAATTTTGTTCTTAACCTTCTAAATTATTCTGTTTATGACCTTCTAAGCCTAACTACTGGACTTACTGGAGGATCTTTACTCTCTAATAAAGAAATTTAGCAACGAGCTAGGAGTTTGTTTATTGGTCAAAACGAATCAAGTAATAACCAAACAATCCTCATCCTCATTAAGTTGACTGTACAAGTTGTCTTACATTGCACATTACATACACTGCACAACTTGTTTCACATCGCACATTGAAAATACGGTACTGTCGTGCAGCCAAAACAACTTGCAGGACACACTATGTGTTATTCACAGGAGTGATAGTTTAGTGAGTTCCACTTTCTGCACCTCCAACTGTGGTAATCCAAACTATCACATATTTTCTGTGGATGTGTTCTACTGGACCTTTACTTTACATACTAAATTTCAAAGCAATCCATGAAGAAATACCTGAGATATAACATCTCCAATTTTGATTGCATTTCTTCCTTTTTTTTTCTTCGCACGGAAAGTACGGAAACTTTATTAAATAGAAAAACGTACTTTATGGATTTTTTTTTTCAAATTTGGTAGACTGATAGATCTTTACAACCTACAATTAAATGTCAAATTTGGTCTACATATAAACCACGTGTGCAAAGTTTATCAACAAAAATGGCTCAATTTTGACCAAAATCCTTAGGCACGCCTACGCAAAAAGTCACGTGAGCTATGGCTCGAAAATTATTCTACAGCTTCACCTAAGAGTGAAAGTGGACCGTTTTTAGTTTTTGTCTTAAAAAGATTAAAGACACGATTTAGAGCAGCCAAACTATAGTATGAAAGCACTTGCAGTTACATAAGTATTGGTTAGGCCAAGCAAACTAGATTAGCGGTTTCTAGCTCAAGTTTTTAACGAAATCATATGATAGACGGTTATTATTGATTATTCATTGCCAACTTTTAAGCACAAGTTTACTAAATTTTATAAAATTCTCCTAATTAAAGAGCGTTTAGCGTCGCATGATATTAGCTTAAGCAATTAGCGTAAATAATGATGCTTGATATGGCTGTAACGAGTGCATGCGGGTGATGACAAGAAACTGTTAATCTTAATTCCATGGCGTTAGTGTAAAAGAAGCTATTAACACTATTTTAGAGAGAAACTACCACTATATATATTTTTTAAAGAAGCTGGTTGATTCTTTAAATTATAGGACTGTTTCAAATATTTGGGTTTCGATTCTAAAGCTAATGTTGGTTACTGTTGAGTGTTACTCTCTTATTTGCTGTGACTTGTTAGTGTGTATTGACAAAAAAGTCATGATATCTAATCAAAAACACCTTAGGTGTGATAAAAAAGTGTGGCCAAAAAAAGATTGAGTGTGAGACTTAAAGGAATGGAAGGAAAATTGACAGCCAAACTGGTAGCTATTCTTATAGCATTGATAATAATTTTGCAGCAAATATTCATTCATTAGGTAGCTAGGCCGTGTATTTTGTTTTACTTACCATCATGCCGCAAGTTGAACAAAAAATATCAGATTACGTATACTGTACTACTTGTTTCACATTGCACATTCTGCACGCTATACTACTTGTTTCATACTGAAAATTACACACACTGTAAAACTTTACATTACACATGCTTTACAACTTGTTTCATATTGCACATTACATACACTGCACAACTTGTTTAATATTGAACATTACACACACTGTAAAACTTGTTTCACATTTCACATTATACACACTGTAAAACTTGTTTCACATTGCACATTACATACACTGCACAACCTGTTTGATATTGAACATTTCACACACTGTAAAACTTGTTTCACATTACACATACTGTAAAACTTGTTTCACATTTCACATTATACACACTGTAAAACTTGTTTCACATTCCACATTACATACACTGTACAACTTGTTTCACATTCAACATTATACACACTGTAAAACTTGTTTCACATTCCACATTACATACGCTGTACAACTTGTTTTACATTCCACATTACATACACTGTACAACTTGTTTTACATTCCACATTAGATACAGTGCACAACTTGTTTGATATTGAACAT